TCCAAGCCAAGTTCATGCCAGGCTTCCTGTCCCTAGTGTGGTAGCCGTGGAAGCGACGGGAGCTGGCTGAGCTTGGACGTCCCCATCCTTCACATCCCCTTCTCCAGGGGATTGTGGGCACCAGTGTGGCGCGGCGTGAATCCCGTTCCTGCTTGCTGCAACGGAGCCTGGTTCAGTTACACAGGAATGGAATGGAGGGCAGCAGCTGCTTAGTGGTGGCCCTGCAGGGGGCGCTCTTCCAGCTGGTGTCCCTGAGCATCCTGGGGGATGGGGCTGGAGCATTCTGGGTGGGATGCCCTGGGGTGAGAATCAAGCCTACAAATTGACTCTGATTGTGAGCTCCGTTGTACAGAGTTCATGAATAACCTGTAATAACATGGAGCTGGAAAGTAGGTCAGGTTGTTTTCAATAATGAATGTTATAAACAGGTGCAGGAGAACCAGACAGAGATAAATTAGTCCAAACAAAAAAGGCCACGCTGCTGTGATTCAAGGACTATGCTGAAATCCGGCTTGGGAAAGACAGAGGATGTGGAACCGGAAATTAGTGAATCAAAATTTGCGTGTGGGATATTAGGGCTAATTGGTGGACAAAAGAACGAGGGGATGGGCTATTCCACCCGCCGCTCCTTTTGTGGGTCCTTAAACAAAGAGACTTCGGGGGGCAATACAGGAAGAACAGACACAGACTACTGGAGTGAGCTTCACTGCCAACCCCGCTGTCTCCTGGGCCCCGGACCTTCATCGTCCTGATCCCGAGAGATGTCCTGACCAGACCGAGCCAGAGGGAGGGGCTCAAACAACACTGCTGCTTCTACCAGCTTCAGCTGAATCCAAACCACCACTTGGGATGAAACAGGATCAGACTGTAACAACAGCAGCAGCTCCAATCCATCTCAACAAACTTCTCCCCTTTTTCCCAGAAGGACAGCGATTACCATCCTGCATAGGCGCCGACTCCGTGGGTGCTCCAGGACTAAAGCACCCATGGCAAAAAAAATAGTGGGTGCTCAGCACTCACCCACTGATCAGCTGTTCGGTGGTAGGTGGGAGGCTGAGGGAGCGGGCGGAGTGGGGATGGGAAGAGGTGGAGCGAGGGTGGGGCACGCTCGGGGGAAGGGGTGGAGCTGGGGGGGGAAGATGCGGGGTGGGGGCTTGGTCTTGGGGGAGGGGACAAGGCAGGGGCGCGGCCTCGGGGTGGAGTGGGAGTGGAGCACCCACCCGAAAAGAAGAAAGTCGGCGTCTGTGCCATCCTGGCTCCCATCTAGGAGACTGTCAAACAAGGGGGGTTTCCTTCTGAAACGCTCACCAGCTAAGGGAGAGGGAAGGAGTGCTGTTGAAATGCAAGCCTGACTTAATACTTGACATTCCAAAGGCTTTCACTGTCTTCCCTTCTTTTCTTTATCTTCAATACAAAGTTCAAAGGATGGTTAATGGTGCGTTTGCCATGGTGCCAAGGAAGCTGAGGTCTCTATACCAAACCCCGCACGTTGTAGAACACTGTTGAATGTTGGACAGCGACTGGGTTATGTTAACACCATTAGCTCCTATGTTCCATCTAAATTCCTGCAGTAACCTCCTGCTGGTGTTTCTAAGGTACCCTATTGCCAGCTGCGGGCAGTTCTCAGCCCTTCCTCAGTGTCAGTCTCCCCCTGGAGTTTGGTAGCTAGTGCTGGTCTGGGTGAGGCTGCTGGCCGGAGCACTGCTGGTTGTGTTGTAGAGGGAGCTGCTGGCTATCTGTCCAGCGGGGCAGTGAGAAGATTTTGGAAGGAACTCCAGTCTGTGGTCAATTTCTTTCAATTCCTTTTGCAGATAGAGAACCAAGAGCTGGCGCTCAGTGAGGCTTAACTCAGCCAACTGACAGACCTTTCTCTTCTTCTTTTCTCCCAGAAGCTGACAGGGCAGGTACTGCCCCTAATTCCAGTGACTTTGTCAATTGCACCCTTGTTGGGGTGATTTGGATCTTCCTCTGTTTTGTTGCAATAACCTGCACTCCTAGTCTTTTTTTAATCATACAGCTGACGTGGTCTAACTATTCCCAGGTTCCAGCCGATGAGCCCAGGAAGCTGGGGCCAGTTAAATTAATTGTATCCAGGGGGCCCCAGTGCTAAAATTCTGACGAATTACCGCCCCCTTCCCTCCCCCAGAGTGGTACTAGCTGCAGTTACTTTGATGCAGAGGCTGTAAATACAGAAGCAGTCGCCTTAGGACCTGCTCTAGGAATTTTGTACAGGACCAGTGAGAGAGATTTATTTATCACGTCTTCAGATGAAGTTGCAATCTGCTCTCCTTGCCTGGGTGTTACAATTGGGAGCCACAATTAAGGACCTGCGAATCTCCCTGGCAGGAAGTGTCGAGGAATTTGACTTTCCGGTTGTTGCAGTGTTGGGGTGCAAGGTGAAAAGTGCCACTGTTAGGAAGGGATTGTGTCCCCCTTCCTGCTGCTATTCCTTCAGGGCAGCCACACTCCCAAAACTTGCGCTGCTCAGGATATCGTAACTGAGCTAGCATGGGCGAGGGGTTCTAATAGGGAACTGGGGGGTCAGAGCTCCTGGGTTCTGTCTCCAGATCTGTCAGTGACTCAATGTCTGTGACTATGAGCCAGTCACACTAATTGCTCTGTGCGTCAGTGTACCCCTCTGTAAAACTGGGGTGATTATATTTGCTGGGGTGCTGTAAAGTACTCTGACATCTGTATATAGTAGACATCAGGGAAGTGCAAGGATGTATTTATTTATTTTGATGTCCTTGCTCGTGAAGCCCTGCTGTCACACTTACCTTGGAGACATGCACCCCAGGTGTGTTTTTAGTTATTGTTCTGTTTCTGATCACTTACGTGAGGTTAATTCACACCTAGCACCATTTTCCGCTTGTACTTGCTGCACACACAGCAGCCCTCATGCACACACGTGCACATACAGCAACCCTCGTGTACACACATACACAGACTCGTGCACACACAGCAACCCTCGTGCACACACATACACACACAGAAACCCTTGTGCACACTCATGCACACACTGCAACCCTCATGAACACACACACACACACACTTATGGGGACACAGCAACCCTTGTGCACTCATACACACGTTCCCCAAACTCACTAACTCTCTTCCCCCCCCCCAACCCAGCTCTCTGGAGGGGCGTTTGAAAGCTGACAGCTGCTTGCCAGCGAGCATCACGTCCAGCAGGTGCCCAGGGAGTTACAAGCCGCTGGTCCCCGTGTAGCTTTGCTATGTGGTAGGGGGGCTGAGCCTGCTCTGTGCCTGCCTGGCTGGTGGGTTTCTCCTGGTTGGATCCTGTGTGCATTTTGCATTGCTGTCCCAGAGCCGCGGTGCTGCTGCTCTCCAATATCCGATCTCTCCTCTGCTCTCCACTGAACCATCTGATCTCACTGCCCTTGTTTGCTTTCCCTGTGAGGGGAGATGGGAGTGCTCCTAATAACTGCAAGCAGGCTGTGTGGGTTCAGCAAGCAGCCACCCTATTGTCAGCGCTGATCGCTCGCTCCTTGCAGAGATGCAGAGATTTTAAGGCCAGAAGGGAACTTTAGATCATCTAGTCCGACCACCTGTACAGCCAGCACAGGCTCTTAAATTCCCCCCACTTAGCCCTGTGCTGAGGCCAAGAGCTTGTGTTCGACTAATGCAGCTTCCAGAAAAGCCTCCAGCCCTGATCTGAAGACAGCAAGAGATGGAGAATCCACCACTTCCCTTGGGCGTTTGTTCCAATGGTTAATCACCCGCCCTGGTAAAAAATTACTCCTAATTTCCAGTTTGAATTTGTCGGACTTCAGCTTCCAGCCATTGGTGGTTCTGCCTTTTTCTGCTAGATTAAAGAGCCCGTTAGTAGGTGTGTTTTCTCCCCAGGAAGGTCCTTAGACACCGTAAACAAGCCACCTCTCAGCTTCTCTTTGAGAAGCTAAACAGATTGCTCTGTAAGGCTCTCGCCTCAGCCCTTGAATCATTTTCCTGCCTTTCTTTTGCCCCCTCTCCAATTATTCAACATCCCTTTAAAAATGTGGAGCCCAGAGTTGGGCGCGGTGTCCAGTGTCGGTCTCCCCAATGCTGTATCCGGCAGTGAAATTGCCCCCTCCTCCTATTCAGTGCTCCCCTGTCTGTACAGCCGGTATTTACCCATCAGGGCCTGTGGCTGCTTTGAGGGCTGCTGGGGCTGAGGGCTGGGAAGAGGGACCAGGCTAGCTGAGGGCCTCTCCAGGCCGGAAAGACAAGGGTGACTCTCCTCAGAGTAACTCTGCCAGACTGCCTGGGAGGGGAAAAGCCAAAGAGCCTCAAGGGGGAAGGACAGTCAGTGCAGCGATGCGGGGCCGATGATGCCACGTCAGATCTGAGCTACTTTTAGTGCTCCCATCGCTGTGGTATCCAGGGGGTGTATTGATCCTCACAATTCACTGCGAGGCAGGGCCGGGCGACCGTCCCCATCATACAGATGGGAACGGAGGCCCAGAGAGGCCAGGGACTTGCTGTTGATAATACCCAGTGCCAGCAGCTTCCCTGCCTCACCCCCACCCTGGAGCTCTCCTCTCCAGCCTGGTTCCATCTCCTTCCCCCACTCGTCCAGCCCCCACCCCCATTCCCTCCCCACCCCCTGCTCCCACCTTCTGCCCCATTACCCAGACTTTGTGCCCCCCCATGCCCACAGGGAAGCAGATGTCTTGCTCCCCTCCCCGCTCTGTTCTGGCAGGGCTGCAGTCAGTGTGCTAAGGCCCTGGGGAGAGCCGTGGCCCATGCCCCACTGTAGTGACCCCTGTGGCTGTCCAGGGCTGGTGGAGCTGGGGTCCCACCCAGTTTTCCTCCCTGCACCCTGAGCTGTGGAGAAGCGCGTAGAGACGGCGGTGGAGGGGAAGATCTCCATCAGGAGGAATTGCTGACAGCCCCCGCTGAGGGCAGTGGGGTGTGGTGGGGGCAGGGGTGCCACTGGGGGGAGTCGGGTGATTTTCAGCTGCCGTCCCATGTTTCCATAACCCTGTTTGTCTCTGCAGCCCCAGCCCAGTCTCGACGAGAGCTGTGGTTCTGGCAGCGCCCAGCCTCCCAGCAGACAGAGCTTCGTGCAGAACCACTTCCAAGCACAGTACAGGTAAGGGGGGTGGGGGACACGTCTGCCCCGGACAAACCTTCCTGTCCCATCCCTGCACTGCATCGGCCCCACCTCGGTGTCAGGCTGAGCTGGGAGTGGGGCAGGGGGAGCTGGGAGGTGACGGGCTGGGATCCAGACACTTCCATGCTCCCTGCTGCACAGAAAAGGGATGTGGCACCTGTCCTTGCAGGACCCAGGCCATGTCGGCTGCCTGCCAGCTGCATGGCACCTCCAGCGACATCATGCTGGGCATCAAAGATAAGTACCCGGGGGGTGAGGGTGAAGCTCCTTGGGAGCCGAACAGAAATAGTTTATGGCTTTAGCTCTCTAGGAATAAAATCTGCAGCTGTAGGGAGAGGCCGGCCTGGCTGCCGCGTGGAGTGACTCTCCTGCTCGCCTCTCTGCTGGTGCAAAGTGGGAGTAACCGCAGAGAGATACACAGGGGTAAAGGAGTGCACCCGCGCCCCACTGCCAGCTGTGCTGCCTGGTGCTTCCTGTTCCTGCAGTACCCGTACAGCACGCTTTCCCAGGCAGCAGTGGGGACATACACAGGCACACGCTGTCCCATCTGACCATGAGGACCCCCCATTTTTAAAGGCTAGTCAGAAAAGTGGCTACAAAATGCCCCCTCCTGCTTCCCTCTCTGTGCCCCCCATGGGGCTTCCCATCACCCCGACTCACTTTAGTGAGCACAGAGCAGCTTTTCGCAGAGCCCAGCCCGCTGCGGGAGAGCAAGCTGCAGTTACACACCAGCAGCTGAGACAGTGGCTGAGTCCCGGCCGCAGAGCCTCGCTTTGCAGTGCCGTGGCAGAGGCAGAAGGTGGCAAGCTGGATTTCCAGGTCCTGGGGCTGATCAGTTAGGAAACCCGTTCCAGCTGGTGAACAGAGATAATGGAGAGAGAGAATCCTCAAGGGGCGGGGGAAGTGGGGGTGGAGAGAGTTCCATGAAGGTGGTGGCTCTTTAAACCATGCCTCGTGTTTCCCATCTCTGCTGGGAGTGCACTAGCACTACTGATCTGGGAGAGCCCATGAGGAGGCTGTGAGGCTAACATTTCCTGGTACTGCAAGTGACAACACCGACCAGTACCTCCCTGGTACCTTCCGTCCAGCCATCCCAAAGTGCATTACAGATTGCACAAACCATGGAGACAGGAGTTGCTTCTCCTGGCAGTGAAATGCAGCCATCTCTGGGGCGGAGCGTGGCAGCTGTTTAACAGCCCACGGCAGCACTTTGTGACAGTTTAGGACAGATTTTTAAGAAGATTATTGTATCCAACTGAAAGCGCAGGGGGAATTTTTGGTGGGCAAAGTGTTACGACCCAGCCTGAAATCTGACCCTCACACCGCTCCTTATTTAATGTCTGCACATGGGCAGGACCTGGGCTTTATATCGCATTTGAAAGGCGGAAGCAGCACAGCACCCCTTAGCGCCATGCTGGTGCCTGGGGTTCGGTACCAAGTGAGAGGGCAGCGCGCTCTCTACTGAATCACCAGCGTTTACCAGAACCTGAGCTTGAGCGGCTGGGTCTGATTTCCTCTGAAGCAGTCTTATTTAGTTAGACAGCTTCACCCAGAACTGTCACAATCTGGGGCCATGTTTTGCCCTCCCTCCCACCTGGGTGACACCCCTGCTGTTCATTAGATAGCCTGGGCGTGGACTGTTTGTGATGGACAACGGGAAGCACAGTCTGGACAGTTGAAGATTAGTAGAAGGAGGCAACAAGCTTTCCTCCAGACATCCAGGAGTGTAACATGCCTGGAGCCGAGGTTCTGGTTGCCGATCCAGGGCATATGGAATGAAATCTGAAACTGTTACAGCTTCCAGTCCAAGGCCTGTAATGCCCAGGTGTCTCAGCACGTCCTGGCCAGGACAGGAAGAGAAAGTCCTGAAGAACCTCAAGAACGGCCCGAATGTTAACAGCTGGTGCAACGCCAGGAAGCACGGATGTCCCCATTAGATGGCAGTTGCAGTGTCTGTTGACTTTAGAGGATTTCTGCTACAAACTCAGTCGACACAACACTATTCAAAGTGCAGAGCCGTACTGCGGCCCGGTGAGCACAGAGACTAGCCTGCAGTAAGTGCTGGTAATGGTAAAAAATAAAAATGATCAGCTTGGAATTCTCTGCACTAAATACATTCCCCGAGGGACTTCGGAAGGTGGATGAATCCACCTGCTGTTGTGTCACCATGAAGCAAGGCTATCACAAAGGCATCCACTCCCCCCCAGTCTGCTAGCACAGCATTATGCATGTCGGAGAGTTGGTGGCATTGAAGCTATTCCAGGAGTGAGGCTTAATAAGCAGCAACTTCACTGAGATATTTATGTGCTTTCCACCATCACTGTGTGAATGTAAATTATCAGACGGGCTGATCTGGAAATAAAATTAAAGACCCATTTAGGAATCAGATGGCAAAGATTTTCATAACAAGGAGCGATAGATGTGTCACAAGTGGAAATGTTGCACAGGAATAAAATTCTGGGGAGGTTTATGAGCTCTTTGGCCTGGACTCTGCTTGGATGGAAGCCCTTCAAAAAAAAACCCAGGTGCTGCCAGATGTAGTATTGGTCATTCTCTAGGTGGCGCTCTCCTGTAAGACCACATTGGACAAATAACCCCATACTTGAGGTCATGAAATATGCTGTGGCTTTTTTGTGGTAGGAGATGGGATATTAACTTTGGGGCTCCGGGCATATTCCATCTGGCCACCTAAAATTCCTATTGTCTGTCAATTGGATATAGTTTTCTTCTTCACTTCCTTTTTTGAATGTTGGACAGCTGCCGTGTCCCACCCCAGAGGTGGCTGCCCATCAGTGGTGAGTGCAGTGCTTTTGTTAAATCTGAAGGAAGGGAAGGGTTGTTGCATTGTTCTGAGAGAACAGAGATGAATGTAGTGATTCTGCTCTAGCCAAACTCCATAGGAGAATAACAGCAAAAAGCTTTGGGGTTAGCACAGTTGACTCTGTGAGCAGATAGATCAGGTAACACCTGCACAGTAAGGATACAGTTGACGGGCATTAGCATACTGGCTGCAGTATTAAGACTCAGGGAGTGCCAGCTGGGCGTCAGGTGATTAAGTGGTTGTGGTGGTAAAGTTATTCCTCTGCAATGTCACATCACAGTCTGCTCACAGGTGCATGGTAGCCTGGGCTCTGGATGTGGGGGAGGGGGAGAAAGAGTGAGAGAGAGTAAAGAAACAAACTGGTTTATAAAACGTCAGCGTTGCCGAATCGTGTGCACGGAGTTTTGCTCAGATGAACTCCTTTGTAAGTGCCAGAAGTCCCAGCGCGTATTGCCAGTACCCGGCACCAGGTCAGGAAAATCCAGCACCCTCTGCAAAGGGATTAAAAGCAAAGGAACCATTCAGCCAGGATGAGTTCCCATGTATTCTTGTGGGTATAACTCAATGACTTGACTTAGTTAATTACCTAGTGCGTGTTCTATCATCCACACCGAGTCCCGTTAGTCTGTGAGCTCTGAGGGGCAGAGACCGGGTTGTCCTTTTGGTTTTTACAGCACCAAGTACCTTGGCAGTGCTCAATAAATAATACACCATAGTTAATAAATAATCAGAGACAGTAGGTGCAAAGTATGATTGCTCTGTTATTCTGGGCACTGGGGAAGTGGCGTTTGCAGCTCAGTAGGAGGCGCTTTTCCCCCGGAGATAGACCTGGCCCAATGTGGTTTACGAGGTCCCAGTGCAGCTGGAGATGGCAACTTTGAGATAAGGCATATGGCAGAGGTCCTGACCCCTCATGCTCAGTAAAGATGCCCTGTCACTTTGACAAGAATGGGATGGAAGCTTCATCGTCCTAGCCAAGTTCCAGACAGGCTGGGTAGTTACATTCGCTTTTCCCCAAATTCCCGATCGCTTCCACTGGAAATAGGTTTCGGGCCAGATCCGCACAGGTGTTTAGGTGCCTAACTCCCATTGAGATTGGTGAGAGGTCAGCGCTAAATATCTTGGAGAATCTGGGCCTTCCCTTTCTGAGCTGTGGTGCACGGTTTGCCATGGGCTGCTAAGCAGCGGCCTCTTTCCTCCCCAGAGATGATTAGCATCATGATTTGTATTTCCATAACTTGTAGGAGCCCAGAACACAAAGGCTCCAAAGAGCTGAGAGTTTGGGCTGCATCTCAGTGGTGGGTGAAGAGTTTCCTGCACAGCTAGTTAGTGACGAATCTGGGAGACGCTGGGAACTTGTCCGCACACTGGTGTAGCAGACGGGGTGACGTTAAAGTGGGTCAGCTGCCCCAGCACACCTTGGCCTCAGTGATCTTTGGACGACAGGCATCAGGGCCAGGTGCTGGTGAGTGGAGATAGTATTTTTATCTGAATGGGTTGTCCAGACCCTAGCGTTGTGTTATGCGCTAAAGAAACAGCATTGCTGGCTGGTGATAGATTCTTGGAGATCTCTTTAAGCGCCGATTATTATCCCCGGCTGCTGTTATTGTTGTGTAATGATCCAAACACAGAAAACCGGTGTCATCGCTGGGGAGGTTGGAGCCCATGGGTTGTGATTTGTGGTCCGGCTGTAGCCTCCATACGCGGCTGAAGATCAAGTGGGGATCTGATGGCCAGTGGGGAAGGCACTGCCTCTGATTTCCAAGCACATGAGTGCTGCAGGGTGGGGCTGGCTTGGAGTCGAACTGACAGATGTCACCATTAACAAGTCCATATGGCCAGCATTTACGGCATGCTGGTACCTGTGATCACTTCGCTTCCTCTGTACTTCAACTCGGAAAGAGCAGGGGTGTCATCTGAAGGGCTCGGAAAGGGCTTGGACAAGAATGTGATAGCTGACCTGTTTTGAGAGCCCAGCATAGACAGGGCCTGTGGCAGTTGTAATATGTTAGCCGATCTAGGTTTCCCCTTCGACCAGCCATCGCCTGTTAGCTTGCCCTGTCTACACGGGGACTTTCCAGCGACCTCGCAATCCCATTTTCACTAAAGACCGTTTTTCCTAGGCACAGCAAGCCCCACATGTGTCAGCCTGCTGCAA